ATAGCCGGGCGAGTTATTCTCTGGAACCTTATTTGGGACAAACTGTTACCAAAGGGGCCAGCCCTAAACTGAAGGGAAATTGATGATAAATGTTTGCTTAAACTGCGTGGATCAGCTGGAACACCTAACATTTGCTTTTACTGGTAATGTAGGTGGTTTGCAAATAAATACTTTAATGATCAGAGGAAAAGTGACCATTTCTTCTTGCAGATATATTCTGTGATTCTGAGGGCGACAAATTTGTGTGGGCTGAAATGAAAGTCAGGTTGCGTACCTCCTGCTCATGGCAGCAGGGCAGTGACGAGAGTCAGCATAGAAGTGTGCTCGAGAGAGAACTAGCCTCGGCTTGAAACTGGTCTGGAGATAACCTACCAAGGAGATAGGCATTTGTGGGAATATTTGAGAGATAATAGTAGCTGTATTTAACCCGCAGTCGTATTCTCAGGGCAGGGGAGGAAATCAGCACTGAGAATTTTGACAGTGCCCTGATTCTCTTTCTCTGTAAGTTTAAGATTGTCTCACAGGTACTGTAGAATCCTAAAGCTGGAAAGGGGACCCAGTGGAGTCATTTTTCCTGCAACCTACCTAGAAACAGGTGCATGTTTATTAAACGAAGCAAAGTTGTTAAGACTCTGCTTTAGCAGAATATCCTACCACCTCTCAGTTTCCAAGCTTCTCAACAACTGACTTGTTTTTCTCTTCATACCAAAGGATAAGCGGGCCAGCCTGCAGGAACACGAGCATTCCGCCTTGCGGGACCACATGCTTCTGGTTTTAGAAAAGAACATCCAGTTAGAAGAACAGGTAAATGTTCAAGAGTTTGAATATAATATAAGGGAGGCAACAGAATTACTGGGATTTGCCTGCTCCATGCTGGTATTTTTCTGTTCTCCTCTGTTTCAATGTAAGTCGACGGGAGGTAGGTGTTTTTCTACTAAGTGGCCAACAGGCTCAGAGGATTGTAGAACATTAGAATTGGAAGGTGCCTTTGAAATCTTTGGGTCCAGTCCCCTCATTCAACAGATGGAGTAACTAAGCTCAAAGAAACGTTGATGTGTTTTAACTTTTAAGTGGCAGAATTCGATCTCAAACCCATGTCCTCTGATCCTGAGTCCAGTGCTCCCCATGGTACACTGTGACTGCCTCTCAACAGCCTGTCCACACACCCTTTGGTTAATGTCCAGCACCTAGTAGGTGTTTGATGTTTTTAAATTAAATTAATATTACCAAGAAACAACAGTTGACTATCTGTTTTAGTCACTATGGGTTTTATAAATTTTGGAGTAAGTCTAAACTCCTGTCCTTGAGAAGCTTTGCAATCTGGTGAATGGGTACATACATACTTATGTCACTGAGCTGTGATTATCAAGTGAAATTATATGTGCAAATGCCTGCCATAGTGCCTGTGGCATACATAGTGACCTCAGTAAATGCTGATTTTATTGAGCAATTATTATAAAAGTTAATTGTTTTGCTAGAACATCTCAGAAGATAAGACTTTTCAAGCCCACATAGGAAAGAAAACCATCCATCTTCAGAGAAGGAGCTGAATTTTACCACTGTCAGTTGTTTTATGATGTCTTACCCATATTAAAGTAGGTATGTGAGTTCCGGGGTCAGATGCCGGAGAAAATTAGAAAGATGCATTAAGTGGCAACTTTGGTAGAAGGCGTGCTGCCTAGTAGCCATTCTCAAGTTCTTTCTGTATCGGTTGGCTCATTCACCGGTTCATTCAGCAAACATCTCCCCTATGTCAGGTACAATGTTTGTTGCTAGGGACACTGAGTCAAGCAAGACATAGCCTTTACCCTTGAAAAACTCACAGAAATGGAAACAGGTGAGTTGCCGTGCCTCACAGTACATGCCATAACTCAACCCGGGGTGCAGAGGCTGCAGCGGTTTGCTCTGGGGGAGTCGGGGAAGTCTTTGCAAGGTAGGACACCCACGCTGCATCGTGAAGGGAGGAAGATTTGTCAGTTAAAATGTTAAAATGTGGAAGGAGGACGTACAGAAGGGGAGAGCTTGTGCCAAGGCAGAGAGGCATGAGAAGTGCTGATAAATCAAGGAAGCGGGATTTTAGGGCGAATGAACTTCCGAGTGTGAGACAGGGGATGGCTGGAGACTGGGGTGTCGATCCAGATTGCAGTGGCCTTCTGTGTAAGCTGAGTTCTGGACACTGTGCATTCAATTATTTTTTTTTCTATTCGTACTCTGCCTTGTTTCAGAAAGGTTTTAAGGGCCAGAGGTTTGAACTAATGTTTGTCAGTAATAGGGAGTTGACGGAGGTTTTTTAATTAGAAGATACTTGGCCAGCTAATTGCTTGGTTTTTAAAAGTAAGACAGCTGCTGATAGCACAGTGCTTGGTCAGAATCGAAGGCTCTAGAGCCAGGATGCCTGGGTTTGCAGCCCAGCCGCGCACTAACTAACCATATTAGTTCGGGTAAGCTGCTTCACCTCTCTCTTCCCCAGCTTCCTCATTTGTAAATGGGGTTGTGGTGAGGGTAAAATGAGATAATATATTTAGGCTCTTAGCACCGTGCCTGACACATAATAAACATTTCAGTATTAGGTGGAAGCAAGATGCCAGAGGGGAAAGTGAGGGCTGAACCAAGGCCAGGTTGGTTGAATGACACACTGTCAGCTGGAAGGCAGGGAACATGGTGATGTTATTAACTGGGATGGACACGACACAAACTGGAGCAGGTTAGAGGTGAGGGTGGGGGGAGGAGATGCCGAGTTTGCTTTTGGTCGGGTGGGTAGGTGGAAATCAGTTCTAGGAGTCTACAGAGAGGATTCTGGAGCCAGAGAGCAAAGGGTTGTTTAAGCTGTTTGTGAATTCATTCACAAAACGTGCGTCAGGTGCACTCTGTGGGTCAGGCACTGCGCTAGGCTCGGGGGGATAAAGAAATAAGGGAGACATAGTCTCAAGAAACAATTTAGTGGAGGAAAAAGGCCAAAACAACAAGAAAAAAAGCAAGTTATAAGAGCGATAAGGGTAAGTTATGCACTGGAGTATGGACAGGGTATCATGGAACTGGAGAGGCGGTCTGGGTGGATGGTGTTAGTAAGGAAATATTTCTGAGAGGATGTGCCCTTGAGTGGAGGCTTAAAAAGTGGTAGTTTCTAGATGAAGAGAGAAGCATCTGAGAGAGCAGGGCCTGGGAGTTTTGTAATCTTGCTGGGCAGAGCACACATATGATATGAATGGGTATGAGGCTGAAAAGGCAGCCAGGGACAGATCATGTAGAGCCCCATTGGGCCTGTAAAAGAAAACGCTAGAGACATTTAAGTAGGGGAGGCTCAAGACCAGATTTACCTTTTTTTTTTTTTTTTTTTTGAGACAGAGTCTTGCTCTGTCACCTGGGCTAGAGTGCAGTGGCATCATAATAGCTCACAGCAACCTCAAACTCCTGGTCTCACGCGATCCCCCTGCCTCAGCCTCCTAAGTAGCTGGGACTACAGGTGTGTGCCACCACGCCTGGCTAATTTTTCTATTTTTTGTAGAGATGGGGTCTCGCTCAGGCTGGTCTTGAACTCTTGACCTCAAGCAATCCTCCTGTCTCGGTCTCCCAAAGTGCTAGGATTACAGGGGTGAGCCACTGTGCCCGGTCCAGGTTTATCTTTTAATGTTATTCTGGTCACCGTATGGAGTACAAATTGGAGAGCAAAACTACAGACAGGGAGAGCATTCATGCCATTCATTCATTTAACAAATACTTATCGAACACCTACCGGTGTCATGCAGGTGCCGGTCCAGTGGCTGGAGTTATAATGGACCGTTACAGATCCATGCGGGTCCCGGCTCCCATGGAACTTACGTTCTGTTGTGTGTCGAGGGTAGAGGAGAGAGTGTAGGACCAGTCAGGAAGCTGCTTTAGCAGCCCAGGTGAGAAATAATGAAGGCTGAAACTAGATGAGATGAAATGAGAAATGGATGTAAAAGTTTTTTTTGCTTATAATATTATGTGTTAAAAGTTAAAGTTGACAATTGTTGCTGAGTGAATGGATATGAGAATAAGTTGTTTATGATCATTTTTAGGTTTCTGGTTGTTCCCTCAGATAGATGACAAATTCTGAGTAAACACGCTACCCACATGTTTTGCCTACCACTTGCTAGCTTGTATGCTGGACAGGTTACTTAAACTCTCTACCTCTGTTTCCTCATCTGAAAAGTGGGACTAATATTCATACCTAACTCATGGGGTTCTTTGAGGAGTAAAAGAGCTTTGAATGTGTGTGATCATATGGGTATGATAGACATTAAGCGGATGTCTACTATTATTACTATTGATACTGTGCATATCACATTTAATGTGGTATGATGATCAGTACTCTATGGTTGTTTTTTGTTGTCTTTGTTTTTAAGAGACAGGGTCTGTGTTACCCAGGCTGGACTCAAATTCCTGGGCTCATGTGATCCTCCTGCGTCCCAGGTAGCTGGGACTACAGGTGTGTGCCACCATGCCCAGCTTCTGTGGTTGTTTCATGAGTGCCTACTGAATGAGTGAACAGAACTAGTTCAGTAAATTCAGTCAAGTGATGTCACTATCATTAGATGAACCATCATAGTGGGTTAGGTTAGAAAAATCTGGTGAGAAATTCTGTGGATCTGCTTTTTTGGAACCACTTGCAAATATTTTCCTAGAATTATATAGGAATCTACCTTTAAATGTTTTCCTGGAGCTATATATATACATTTTTTCCCTAGAAATAATTTCTTACCCACAAGTACTATTTTAACGTAACTATATGCATGCATTTCAATAATCTTATTTTTCCTCATTCCTGTTATTAGATTTCTGACTTATATAAGAGCCTAGAACAGAAAGAAAGTAAAATCCAGCAGCTAACAGAAACTGTAAAGAAATTCGAAAGGGAGTTCAAGCAGTTTACACAGTTGTTTGGCAAAAATGGAAGCTTCCTCTCCAACATCCAGGTGAGAAATGGCCTTTCCATTCGAAACCAGGATTTGTCTTTCAGTTGGCAGTGAGGGTTTCAAATATACAGAGAAGGTGCAAGAATAAGATGGTGCAAAGAACACTTGTATATCCGCCACCCATGTTCACACGTGGTCAACATCTTGTTCCATTTGCTCCTCCGCTCCTCCTCCCCCCAACCTCTGTGTGTGTGTTAACATTTGAGAGTACACTGCATGTTTTATGGCCCTTTATATCTACATACTTAAGTCTGTTTTTCCTAAGAATTAAGGTCTGTGACATAACCCCACTACATTTAGCAATGTCAGTAAATTTAACATTGATACAGTAGTTTTATATAATTTATGGCAATTGTGTTTTTTTTTTTTTTTTTTTTGAGACAGCATCTCACTCTGTTGCCCTGGCTAGAGTGAGTGCTGTGGTGTTAGCCTACCTCACAGCAACCTCAAACTCCTGGGCTCAAGCGATCCTACTGCCAGTAGCCGGGACTACAGGCATGCGCCACCATGCCCGGCTAATTTTTTCTATATAGTTTTAGTTGTTCAGATAATTTCTTTCTATTTTTTTTTAGTAGTGACGGGGGTCTCGCTCTTGCTCAGGCTGGTCTTGAACTCCTGAGCTCAAACAATCCACCCCTCGGCCTCCCCGAGTGCTAGGATTACAGGCATGAGCCACCGCGCCCGGCCGGCAATTGTGGTTTTAATTAATGTTGGGCCAGTATTAATCACTTGATTTCAGATTCATTGAGAGCATCTGTAGTTCTGTATTATGTAGTCAGTCGTTAATTCTCTTGGGAAGAAAATGCTTTAAACATCACTAAAATATAGCAAAAACTTACTTTGTAATTATGAATGTTAAATAATCATAAATTTCCAAGGAATAATGTCTTTATCATGATTATAAAATTTACAGTAAAAAAGAGTTCAAGACATGGTATGGGCAATATGCTTGAAATTTGGATTATCCCAGAATATCTAGGCTATATAATTTTCATGCTTGGAAATTATACATTATATAATTATGCAGCACATTTTATATAGATTAATATATGTATGTCTATATATATGAGTATATTTAATGTGTCAGCACATTATATTTGTGTATATATGTGTGTGGAAATTGTATACATGTGTTTATATAAGTACACATGTGTATATATACACACACATACATGTCTATGTATGTATGTGTATAATGTATATGTATATATGTATGTACAGATGCTCCTTGACCTAAAATGAAATTATGTCCTGATAAACCCATTGTTAAGTTGAAAATATCCTAAGTCAAAAATGCATTTAATACACCTAACCTGATGAACATCATAGGTTAGTCTAGCCTGTCTTATACATTCTCAGAACACTTACATTAGCCTACAGTTGGGCAGAATTACCTAATACAAAGCTTATTTTATAACAAAGTGTTGAATATCTCATGTAATTTGTTGAATACTGTACTGAAAGAGAAAAACAAAATGATCGTGTGGATACTCGAAGTATGGTTTCTACTGAATTGCCTATCTCATCAGCACCATCTTAAAGTAACAATTGTCATTTGAACTATTATGAGTCAGGGAGCATCTGTGTATACATACATGTATGTATATGTGTGTGTGCGTCTATAGAGGTGTGGACGTGTCCACAAAAAATTTATCATGTGACTATCTCAATTCTGACCTCTTCCTAATACAAAGACTGACCAATCAGAACTAAGGCACGTAGGGCCAGGGTGGAGTAGTTTTCCTTAATCTCTTGCACCTGAGAGAGAAATTGAATGTTTCAGTTTGACTCAGGGCCTTCTGTGCCACCTGCAGTGCTCAGGGCAGGACAGGTGGGCCTTTGCCAGTCCATTTCCTGCCTTCTAGCAGAGCAGGAGTGAATCAGGAGAGCAGCTTCTAAAATGAGAAGAAAGCAATGAGGCCAGAGGAGAGACAACATGAAAATAGATATATGTAAGATGGGTTAGAGAACCAAGTGGAGAGAAATTGAGGGAAGAGCCAAAATTAGATAAAGAGAAGTTCAATGATTTAGAACAGGGGCTGCCATAGGAGAGGAAAAGGAAGATTTGGCTGCTCTCTTTGATCCTCTTCTGGACTTGCATTTTTTTATGTCATTAATTGATTAAATGTGAAATGTTTGAGTTGAAAAAATTTAATCTCAATGGATTATGAAAATATTAACTATTTTTTTTAATGATATGATCCATTTTGTAATGAAAGGTTCTTGCCAGTCACATTGACAAGTCTGCGTGGCTAGAAGCTCAAGTCCGTCAGTTATTACAAATGGTTAACCAGCAACAAAATAAATTTGACCTGAGGTCTTTGACGGAAGCGATTGATGCAATGAAACAGAAAATTACCCTGCTAGAAAACAATGATCAAAGACTAGGTATGTCTAATATTTCACTTCTCTTTGGTGACTTGTTTGTCTGCATGTGCTCGTGAAACAACTGAATGCCTGGCCAAACAGAGTCACATCTGTCCAGGATAAACAGTGGTTGAATCTGAGTGTTATTTGTGAAAGAGCAGCATGAGATTCTGGCCACTCAGGCAAAAATGAGGGAGAGCCCCGAGCTGAGCGGGGGTGGGGTGGCCGGAAACAGGCAAGGGGTGGAAATGGGCCAGGAAATTCCAAGAACAGGGAGTGATGATTTTAAGGAAAGTGTAAAATAATGGGAGAGCTAAGGGAGAGATGTGGTAGGGTCATTGTTTTAGGTATGGAAAAATATAAAAGGGTTTGGCTGCTCAAAAGCATCCCACTTAGAAAAGCGTGGGGCTCCCCATGCCACTTCCCAGTAGTTGAATGCTTGGTTTGGTTTCCTCTCTACGTTTCAGCAAGCTTCAGTCTAAAGAGCGCACATTCGGGTTTTCTTGGTGCCAGTTTACTGAGACGTGATATCCCCTGAGTTAATATTCTAAGTATAAATGGTCGATTTGTAGACATTGATTTCAGTTCATCCTTAGGATGTCAAAATTGTGTTGGTTCTCTTCCAGTTACAAAATCCCACTTTGGGCAAATTCTAAAGACCACTTTCCGGCCTATGGAATCTTTTTTTTTTTTTCTTTGCAGTTGTTTTAGAAGGAGAGACTAACAAACACGATGCGCACATTAACATTCATAAAGCGCAGCTGAATAAAAATGAAGAGCGATTTAAGCTGCTAGAGGGTGCCTGCTATAACGGAAAGCTCATTTGGAAGGTGACAGATTACAAGATGAAGAAGAGGGAGGCGGTGGACGGGCACATCGTGTCCATCTTCAGCCAGTCCTTCTACACCAGCCGCTGCGGCTACCGGCTCTGTGCTAGAGCTTACCTGAATGGGGACGGGTCTGGGAAGGGGACGCACCTGTCCCTGTACTTTGTGGTGATGCGAGGAGAGTTTGACTCACTGTTGCAGTGGCCATTCAGACAGAGGGTGACTCTGATGCTTTTGGACCAGAGCGGCAAAAAGAACCACGTGGTGGAGACCTTCAAAGCTGACCCCAATAGCAGCAGCTTTAAAAGACCCGATGGGGAGATGAACATTGCATCCGGCTGTCCCCGATTTGTGGCTCATTCCGTTTTGGAGAATCCCAAGAACACCTACGTTAAAGATGACACCCTGTTCTTGAAAGTGGCTGTGGATTTAACCGACCTGGAGGATCTCTAGTGACTGTTGATGGGGCGATAAAAGGACTTCTTTGGTCCAGAACCATGGGGAGAACACATGTGATTGTCATATTGATCTGGATTTAGACTCAGCGCACGTTCGTCTTCGGCTTTTTGCCCTTAATGTTTGACGTCAGTTTAAAGCTTCTGAAGTGCTGTCGTCTTTTTACATTTTGTTCTGTCCCAGTTTGAAACTTAAAACTCTTAGAATATCCTCTTGTTATTTATGTTTTTCTATCTCATGAAAGATGGTAAGTTTCTTGAAAGTAAGGTCTGAGGCTTCTCTCGTTTACTGGTGCTTAGCACAGCCTTAGGCACCCTGTAATACTGACGTTATTGCGAACGTAGAGGTGGGGAATTCCCAATGGAAAATGCTTTGGTATTTTCTTGTTTGGCCTGTTGATTCTAGACCTGACCTTAAATCTGCAAAAGCCATCTTTTTAGAAAGTAAGCTGTTCCAGTTAAGTAGTGGGTGATGTAATTATGAAGACAATATGCCCAGTTTGGACCAGATTTTTTTTTTTTTAGTTAAATACTTAAGTTTTGGAAATTACTACACCTTTAAATATTTTCATGAAATTCACCAGCAGTTTGCAAGTACAATTTTACAGGCTTGCAGAGAACTGGTGGATAGGGTAAGCGTTTTCATTCTTCCTGCTCTGAAGTAAGCAGACAGTACTACATAGTAATATGTAAGGAGATACAGCCAGCCAGCTAAAATTCAGATTTTATTAGGTTCAACCATATGAGAAAATGATTTTCAAAGGTCGAAAATGGTCAAATATTAGCAGTAAGAGTCAACCAAATAAATATACATACATACATATATGTGTGTATACAAATAGTTTGAAGGTATTTTGGTAATAATAGTAAATTAATGTGAGGTTGGCCAGAATTTAATATATGGTAGAGAAAATGTCGTAAATGTGTAAAAGAAATTTAAAACCTAGGGAGAAAACCATTATAATTTCCTGTGGATGTCACTCCCATCTAAAACTGATTGCTAAAAACAATATCTCCCATTGTTTGAGAACTTCTGAATTCATAAGTTGGTATGAAAATGGGCATTTATATAAACTTGTGAAGTTTCTTGTTAGAGTCTTGAGTACTTTGTGAAGAACAGAAATGATCATGGTCTTACGCATCTATCTGTAGGGTCTGAGGGTATATATACAAGTTGAGATGAGTCCTTATGACACTTGATAAGCCTGAGCTTAACAGAAAAATACCTAGTCTTCCTGAGCCCTTACGCACTGTCATGCCACTTTCCAATGCTCCTACCCAGGCAGGCTTCCCTGAACATGCCAGGACAAGTGTCATGAGCCAAGGGCCCCGTGGAGCAGCTCACTCGGGCGATGACACCTCACAATTTCTGAACAGCTAACCCTATAGACGAAGCGTGATTTGTCCCTTCTGGGAATGATGGGAACCTTCTTAATCTCTCCTGTGGAATTTTCAGGATGCCGAAGACTCATCCTGCAGGAATCATCCCAAAGGATTAAATTCAAAGAAAAAGCTCTGGCACAGCTGTTGCTCAACACCTCCCCATGGACAAACTCAGGAGGCCCAGACCCAGGTGGTTCCGCATGTTTTCAGCGTTGGTAATCGTGCCCAAGGTCACTCTTTGTGTTCCTCGGGAGTGGAAGTTCCTATTGTTGTAACTAGTTTTAAGCAGTTGATGTGAAAAACACTTTAAAGTGAATTTGTCAAAATACTGGTTTTGTGTTTTAATCAACTTCTATGCATATAAAGTGTGTCGTGGCATGGTTTTCTTAAGAGTTCAGAGTCCCTTCATCATTGAAGTAATGTTTAAGTGATCACAGAACAAGGAATTCTACAGTAAAAGGCACTCCTTTTTCAGAAAATAAAAGTTGTGATTTTTGTTTTTAAAAAAATAGATCCATGTAAACGATTTTTCCTCTTTTATGATCTGAATAGTTATTTTTATTCTGTATTAATAAGATTTTAAATTTTCTTTCCATTTTGATCTAATTTTGGTTCCTGATGAAAATAATATGCCAGGCACAAAGGGGGAGTCAATATTTTTGAGAAAGGTATGTAAGAATTAGAGTGGGGTGGGGAGGGGGGTACCTATTGACGCATATCGACAGGTCTGAAATCTGAGCCCTGACCTCCGAATTGGATATTGTCAGAGAGACAAGAGATAGTCACAGCCAGATTCAGTGCACAGTGCCAGTCCTGAACACAAGCAAACAGGACAGTGAGGCACAAACCCTTCCCAAGGTCCCTGGACAATCAGTCCACACTACTGGCTACCTCTTTTCTCTTAGAAAGTGGTTGGAGACGCAGGTCTCTGTTTGACATAAGAATTCTGAGCTGGAGATAAACGTTTGATAGATGCACAGTAGGGAACCCAGGTGGTGAAATCTCTTGGGAACAACATATTTTATGGCAGGAGGAACAAGAGCCTGCACAACACTTGGAGAAGGAATGTTCAGAGGTAAGAGAAGTACCAAGGGAGGTGGGAAGGAAAAAGAATATCAACAGGGCCAGATGCCAGCCTGGGAACAGCAGCTGCTCCTAGTGTACTCCACAGCCTCATGGTCTCCCCATGCTGCTTCCTCCTCGGACTGCGTCTTGACCTTGGCCTTTTTGCCTTATGCTGCAGACTCTTATATCCAAGTACCTGCTGAACATCTAAACTAGGAATCCCGTAGGTACTGTAAAGCCCACTTCACCATACTGAACTGGAAATCTTCCCACCCTCCCACCACTGCCAACCTATTACTCCTGTCGTTCTTCTACCTTGGTTAGTGACATCACTATCCAAGCCAAAAGCTTGGACACTATTCTACGTTCCTCCCTCACCTTCCCCATCCAGTCACCCAGCCAGGACAGCCAATTTGACCTACAAATTTCTTGTCTTTCATTCTTATTTTTTTTGGAGAGACAGGGTCTCACTTACCCAGGCTAGAGTGCAGTGGCCTGATCGTAGCTCACTGTAACCTCAAACTCATGGGCTCAAGTAGTCCTCTTGCCCCAGCCTCCCAAGTAACTAAGACTACAGGCATGTGGCCCCATGCCTGGCCAATTTTTCTATTTTCTTATAGAGATTTTGGGTCTTGCTATGTTGCCCAGGCTAGTCTTGAACTCCTGGCCTCAAGTGATCCTCCAACCTCAGTCTCCGAAAGTGCTGGGGTGAGCCACCATGCCCAGCCCAAATAATTTCTTTAAATTATTCCTACTTATTTCATGAAGGGGCTAAATATGCAAAGTGACCTCCAAAAGGAGAAGGAGCCAAGAAACCAGAGAACAAGGCAGGCAAATCCAGTTTCTCAGTATAGTTTGTTTTATTAGGGAAATTACAAACAGAAGCGTGGCCTTGGGTGACCACAAGACGGTAGATCTCCTGGTTGTTACCCCCAGATCCAGGGCTTAGGTATACTACAGGAAAAGGGATACGTGCTTCAGAGGGAATGCGTAGGAATTTGCTTAAGGGCAGGATTTATGGTAAGTCGTGTTCTTACACAAGGAACAATAGATAAACTGAACATCTTGGAGGCATTTCTGGAACTCAGTTAATCAGAAGTCAACATGGCCATTAGCATCCAAGATGGAGTTACTTTGGCCTCCACACTACAACTTTCCCTTACTGCATACTACTGTCCTGTTTCAGGCCTACATTATTTTTTTAACTCACAGTTATCCCTATTTTTTGTTTTGCCTCTTTCAAATCCAACCTCCACACTGTCACCTGGTGATCGCTTTAAAATGAAAATCTGAGTATGACGCCCCCCCCAGCCACACTGTGACTCCATTGCCCATAGGATCAAGCCCAGCCACCATGGTGTGGCATGCAAGGCCCTCCATGCCCACTTCTGCCCCTCCAGCCTCGTCTCCTCACATTTCTCCCACTTTGCATTTAGCAATACCACACCAAGCGGTCTGACATTTGAGCTTGTGCTACACATCTGCTTGGAATACTCCTCTCCACCCTCACCTCCTTTGCCTGGTAAATTCTTGCCCTTCAAGATTCTGCTTTGGCCGCACCTTTTCCAGAATGCCTCCCAAACTAGCCCTTAATCTGCACAGCCCACTCCTACCCTCTACCCTCGCTATGCCAAGAGTCCTTGCTCTGTGCTATATACTTCCTTGCCTTATTTATTTATTTATTTTAGAAACAGGCTCTCTGTTGCCCAGGCTAGGGTACAGTGGCACGATCACAGCTCACTGCAGCCTCATCTCAAACTCCGGGTTTGAACAATGCTCCCGCTTCAGCCTCTTGAGTATCTGGGACCATAGGTGTGCATCACCACGCTCAGCTAATTTTTTTTTTTTTTTATTAACAAGAATGCTCAGATTTTTAAAAAATTTTTTGTACAGATGGAGTCTTGCTATGTTGCCCAGACTAGTTTTGAACTCCTAGCCTCAAGCAATCCTCCTGCCTCAGCCTCCCAAAGTGCTGGGATTACAGGCATGAGCCACCATGCCTGTCCTCCAAACCAAATATTAATTGACCATCTATTTGTCAGATTCTGCGTGAGTTGCAAGTAGCACAGATATTGTCCTTACCCTCCTCAAATTTATACTCTGTAGGTTGACCACAGGTGGTGAAGAAACGTGATCAGTGTGAGTGTACCCAGCCTCCTCTGTCTGATAAAGACTTTGCCTCTCAACTTCTGTTCCCTGTGCCCTAAGAAAATGTATCTCTCAGACAGGTTCTGGATGCTTGTGATGCAAAATGAGAGAATAGGCAGAAATACCTTCGAAAAGAGAGCCCTAGGGGAAAGGATTATGGAGAAAAGCTAAACAGATCCCGTAAGTACACGGGAGCACTAAGAAGGAGAGAAGAGAGAATCAGAAGCTATGGGACCTGCCGGGAATTGTGAATCGGAGCCTCTTTGATGCTTTTTTCTTCCAAGAGACCCACACTAAAGATTGAAATACATTTTAAAATTATTTTTGGCTGCTTGAAATACACTTATTTGAAGCTCTACAGGGACACTAGACTCTGTGGCTCCAGAATTTATAAGGCATTTGAACAAATCAAGTATATAACAATACAAGTTGCGGTAAATGCCTTGAAGAAAATGGCAGAGTATAGAGAAAGGATAATGGGGCCGGGGTGGGAGAATGACTTAGGGTTCTCAGGGAAGGCCTTTATGCTGAGGCAACATGATATTTCGT